TAACATGCTTTTAATATTCAGTGCTTCCAAAGGCCTCCAAGCGGTCCGGTGGTGGTGCCACCTATCATATTGGTGGTACCTGGACATGACCTCCAGGAGGATGCAGTGCATCATGGACGTATGATGCTGGATATATATGGCGTTGTTTGCCATACCTTGACTGGACTTTGGCAAGCGGGAAATCAAGGTTAATTCGTAAACTTTTCCCATGTTTATTGGTTAAGTCGAGGGCCATGGTTGGCCTACAATCCGCAGTTTTGGCAACGGCTTTCCCTTCTCCAATTCAATGTGGATTGTTTAGGTTGTATAAGTTTAGCCTATAAGTAAATTAAGTTTATTCTATAAGTAAGTTAAGTTTAGTCTATAAATAAGTTAAGTTAAGCTTGTAATCACTCCCAGGCCCAGTGCATCAGCCCTGGAGATCAGGTACTTCTCTGCCTTTGTCTTTATCTTTTTTGGACTGCTGCCGCTGGGGATTTATGGATCACCCACATGAAGATCACTTCCTGTCCATCAGCTCTACAGCCTCTGCTTCAGTTTTTCTTCGTTTACAAACTGCTGTCGCCGAGGATCTATGGAAAACCCATATGAAGATACTGCTTGGCTCTGATTAGTCTCTGCAGATGGACTGCACTAGAGACCATGTACCACTCTCCTTTGGTTCTTCTCTTTGTTGGACTGCTGGCACTGGGTACTTTTGGACCACCGACATGGAGATCACTCCCAGCACACCAGGTATTCCTCTGCTTAAGTTTTTCTTCTTTTAAGGACTGCTGCCCACTGGGTATCTATGGAAAACCCATTTGGAGATACTGCCTGGCTGTGATCAGTTCGAGTCCATCTGGTTTTCCTTTGGTTTTTCTTTTTTTTTTGACTGCTGTTGCTGGAGATTTATGGATCACTCGCATGTAGATCACTTCCAGACCAGGTACTCCTGCTGCCGCTGGAGATTTATGGACAACCCACATGGAGATCCTTCACTCCTGCTGCTCTGCTTTATAACCTTAATCCTTGGCCAGCAAGCTAAGCTGGGCTTCTCTGGCGGTACCTAGCTTGCAAGTATTTGAAATTTAAAGATATTTTGACAACTCTTAATTAAATAATTTCCTAAATTAATCTCGTATTAAAAGTAAAACCAAGAATTAAACTTAAACTATGTACTGCGCTGATCTTGCCTTGAACTCTCTGCCCATAAATAGAGTTTATGTTTGGTTTCCACTGCCATTTCCCTTCTTCTCAGCCATTGTCTAACCATTTGCTGCTCCAGTCAGATAAATTTCAATGTATTTGCAAACGCAGCAGAGTCCTGATTTTGTCCTGCTCCTCGTTCTGGCTACATTTCTTTGTTTATCTTTATACATTTACAATTAAAAGGGCGGCTTGGCATTGTTGTCCTGTCGTAATATTAATGAATCTTCCCCGTGCCACACACTCTACTCTCTCCAGCTGGCCATGCAGGACAACGGCAGGACCTGCTGCTGGCTCGTTAATTGATTGCAATTGCTGGAGATTTATGGATCACTCGCATGTAGATCACTTCCAGACCAGGTACTCCTGCTGCCGCTGGAGATTTATGGACAACCCACATGGAGATCCTTCACTCCTGCTGCTCTGCTTTATAACCTTAATCCTTGGCCAGCAAGCTAAGCTGGGCTTCTCTGGCGGTACCTAGCTTGCAAGTATTTGAAATTTAAAGATATTTTGACAACTCTTAATTAAATAATTTCCTAAATTAATCTCGTATTAAAAGTAAAACCAAGAATTTAACTTAAACTATGTACTACGCTGATCTTGCCTTGAACTCTCTGCCCATAAATAGAGTTTAGATTTTGGTTTTTCCTCAACATTGAATACTTCTTCATTGATTCTTTTCCTTAATGAAGTCATTCTTAGTCATTTCAGAGATGAAATCTTCTACTATTTAGTCCAGCTTATCAGCCACTTTAATGGCCTATCTCTGACTTAAACTAAACTATTAGAAAATACCCAAAATATAAGATTTCTATAAAGGTTATCAGACTTTTTGAATCAATAAAACTACTGAGGCATCGCAATCTGCCAAAGGGTCATCAAATATCCATTGCTCACTGTACAGGTGACGAGCGCTAATGATGTCGCGGACTAAACGCAATCTCCCCCAAACCCCAAACTCCCCCTCTCCAATCGATTACCCAACCATCCAGACATTAAATGTTTGTCCCAACAGCTGTTGACCAATCACCACCCTCCACCCAAACTCCATGACCATCGTTTGGTCCATAAAGCATCGACATTTGCTGCTAATTACATTCTGTGGTCGGCATAACAAATCCCATGGAAAAAAAATATGAACTGGACGGGAAAGGCGGCTCTGGAAAAGCGAGAGCTACGCACACATGTGACCAAGGCCAGACCAGACCAGATCGCCCCTCCCTCCCCCCAAACTCCAGGCCTATTTATGATTGATGGCGGATGGCAGTGGCCAGTCGGATGTAAAAGGTATCCTGGGGAAAGAAAAAAACCAGGAGTGATGTGCAAACAAAGCTAAAGGGGAAAAAAATCTGTTAAACTTTGGTTTCGATTTTCGGAGGGAGCTTGGGGATGGATGGATGGTTGGATGGTTGGTTGGTTGGCAGATGAGGACGGTTTCGGCCGAACAACAAGTAATTAAAATACCAGGCCCAGGCAGGCAAATGTATCGCACTTCTTCTTCCAGCTAAACCCCCCGTAACCCCATTCTCCACACAATGATGTCCAGTTGGAAACATATTGATTGATTTTTAATTACAAACTACACATATGTAGGTACACTCGTACATATATATAGAGCGTAGAGGGTAGGATACTGATTCCGATTCCGTTTCCGTTTCCGATTGCAGAAGGGAAATCAAGGTGGTGGTGGTGGTGGTGGTGGGGTAGTCCACTTCAATTTCAATTAAATGGCTTTTTATTAAACGCATAAACAATGGCAAAGGAGGAGTGCGTAGTGCTCCTGCATCCTAATGGGGATTTAAGGACTTTTCCAACAGCGTTCAACGTATAATTGAGGCGCCACCACCACCGCTGACGCATGCAATTAGCAATCGATGGAAAAAAGGAGCAGCCAATGGAGCTTGAAAAAAAGAAAGAAAGAGAGGAGCCAGAGAGGGGATGCAGCTGGGTGGCAGGTGGAAACTGCAGACAACTTACGAGGCACGTGGCATGAGGCATGAGGCATGAGGCACTGAAAGACCAAGCAGCAAAATGCAAAAGTTGTCGAAAAACTTTTTACATTCCACCAAGACTAAGGGAAAAGGCACTGTGGAAAATCTATGAGGGAAATTCCAAAAATTTAAACTTTGAGTTTAAAAGCAAATTTAAAAGAAAATTGAAAGTAAGGTAAAGAGAAGTCAAATTTTTTCAGTGTAGAAGAGAGACAGCAGCAGCAGCAGCAGCCTTTTCAAGAGGCAAAACGGGGCAACGTTGCAATCAATGGGCCATTGTTACGACGCGTTCGACGATTGAAAATTGCTAAGCTGGCAGCATAAAAAGAAAAGAAAGGAAAAGAGGGGGAAAAGAGAGGAAAAACCAGAGAAAAGATTTCCATTCAAATAAAAGAATGTGCGTGCCGTTAATGATTTTCCTGTTAATAAAGGAAAATGCAACTACCATTAAAGGGTTAAAAATTCAAAACAACAAATTTCTTTGCTTTTGCTTTTGGAAAATTTTCCACTTTTAAGTTTTTGAAAATCAAAATAAGTTTAAAACTTTAAAATACCTAAATAACTTTTCACTTTAAACTTTAAAAAATCAACTGATTAAGAATGAAAATTAAGAGAAAAAACAGATTTTCCAACTTTAATGAGTTTCCTGGCCTTCGCCTGGAACACCTGATAATTGCTGTCTGCAAGTTCAAGTTGGGGGGCGGCGTTACCTTATTGAATCTGTACAATTTGTTGGACATTCCATTATATTCCCTTTTAGTATCCTTCGTCCGCCTATCCTTCCCCTCAGCCATTACCTTTTCCATTCTATTCGATTCTCCGCCTTCTAGCTACCAGTTCCATTCAGGCAGAGGTCCTCGTAATTTCAATTGTCTATGCAAAAGAAGAGAGCTTTGAATCGCAAAATGGTCAGGCCTTGGTTTTTACACTGCGAGAAAGTGTTTGCTGGAGTCGTTTATATGAGAGTTAATGTTTGGAAGGGGTAAAAAATATGTGAATATAACTTTTATTATGCGTAAAAAATGCAAGTTATATTCATAGTTTTATCCCTTTTATAGTCTGAGAGAGATTTAGATTATCTTTTCAATCCACTTTTTTGATTTCTGTCTTTGGTTTCCCTTTCTTTTCCCTCACTGGACCCACTCCTGTACCATCCTGCAGCGTCCAGCTTGTTCTTCTTTTTTATCAATCCCTGCCTGCTGACCATTGCCTGGGCCATGGCTTGCCTTGCCTTGCCTTGGCTTGGCTTTTGTTTTTGTCGCCTTTTGTGTATGGCTGCTGGTCGTTTCTCATACTAGATATGTTTGGTTTCCACTGCCATTTCCCTTCTTCTCAGCCATTGTCTAACCATTTGCTGCTCCAGTCAGATAAATTTCAATGTATTTGCAAACGCAGCAGAGTCCTGATTTTGTCCTGCTCCTCGTACTGGCTACATTTCTTTGTTTATCTTTATACATTTACAATTAAAAGGGCGGCTTGGCATTGTTGTCCTGTCGTAATATTAATGAATCTTCCCCGTGCCACACACTCTACTCTCTCCAGCTGGCCATGCAGGACAACGGCAGGACCTGCTGCTGGCTCGTTAATTGATTGCAATTTGTATATGTAAATTTTTAGCAGAGCCAACGTTAGGACACCCCCAAATCGTATTATTATTTCTGTTTCTCGTTCTTTTTTTTTTCCAACCTTCACATTGTTGTGCAAATTTGTGTGCGGTCACATGTGTTTGTTGATTTACCGCCGTCGCTTTTCCCATTCACCAAATTGCCTTATTAAGCTAAATCAATAAATTAATAATTATCGCCAGGACAAACTCACCCCTTCCTCCTTGCCCTGGAGCAGATGTACGGCACCGGAACGTTGGATACCAGGCAGGAACCACATTGGATGGGTGACCAGCAGTCGTTCCATCAGACCCAGATCGCAGGGCGGTGAATTGTCGCTGGAATCGCGACTGCTCTCCTCGCCCTCGTCCTCGGCTTCAACGTGCTCCTCCACTTCTTCGTCATCCTCGCTGGATGTTTCGCCCTCGGCCAAGATGCCGCCCTCTGAGCTGGAAACCAGAGATGTGCGTGACTAGAAAAGAGGAAAGAAAAGGTTTGGGGGGGAAGATTAGAAAAGATCTCTGCTTTCTCTCTAGTTTAACTTTTTAAAATGCCTCTCTATCTCTCTTTAGGTATTTCCCTTACTATTCAGTTCCTTAACTTCATAAATCTCTTTCCCACTAATAAAACCCCAATCCTGCCCAAATTACAACCTTAAAACCTCCAACCGAAAGGGACAAAAACTTCCTCAGCATCTGCTAGAACACACATAGAGAACCACCACACACACACACTTGACCAAGTTTTCCGGCAACAAAAGTTCTCAGCGTACTGAAAAATCATGGAAAAACCATGACTGGCAGAGGACGGAATCTCCGACACTTGACACATTGCCTTTGGCCATAATTCTGTAATCTCCATCACAGTGCGAGTGCAATTCCATGTCGTGATATTTCCAGAATGCCTACGGAGCTCAACATTAAAGACTAGCCTAGCTAGAAAATTTCCATGAGTACTGAGTGGCAAGAGTACAGAATTTTTCAAGGCAATTTTCCCGCAGGCATGCTTTTGCAGGCCAAACAAAAGCGAAAAAAAAAATTCTATGGCAGCAGCAGCGGCAGCAGCAGAAACATGCGAAAGCAGTCGCGTTGTAGGCGTTTTTAATTGAAAAGTGCCAAGGGCTGGCTTTGAAGTTGCTTCTGGGGAGTGTGTGAGGGAGAGTCTATATATATATATGTATAGCATACTTTTCAGCGGAGGTTATTTGAGGGATTTATATGGTAAAAACGACACCCCTCTGTCAAAATGATGACGCTGACGATGTTGTTTGCCAACGGTTAGCGATGCCAAAAATTGAACCCAAAGCAAATGTTTAAGTATTTGAAAATTATTCAAAAATAAATGAGAGAAAGATGAGGGGATATTAGAGGGTAAAAGAGGGGGAAATACCTCAGGAAAAACTAAGAAAAAGTTAAGGAATTTAAGGAAGTAAAAGGGGGGAGGCTTATGGTTTTTGCCAAGTTAAATAAGAAAGTTAAAGAAGTTTAATTTGATTAAGAGAAATTTAGTTTTCCTAACTAAAATACCTTTTTTTTTATTACAATTTTTAACATTTTTTTTACATTTTTTACATTTTTATTTTTGAACTTGGAAAGGGGTGGCCCATGTAGCCTTTGCTTTTTGAACTATCCATAATTTTGACTTTCGAATGTCATAGAAAGTTTGCGTTTTACGAAATGGTTAAGTTTACGATCGAAGCAAAAGCAAATCTTCCGTGGGCCACCCTATATATCAACCACAAACTGATCTGAACTATATAGTATACACATTTATGACCAAATTTTAAACAAATATGCATAAAAAAATGTCAGTGAAAATACAAACCAAACTTCAGTTTATTAACCAAAAATATATTTGATTTATTATCATTTCGAACTTCCTTTTCCTGCTTTTCCTTTTTCGAAATGAAAAATTACAAAACTCTCCCTTAAATATCTAAAAAAAAAAAAATCTCATTAAAACTGCTCTAACATTCGCTTTGCTGGTCTGCGTTTAATTTAAAATGCTTAATAATAAAATCCCTTCATTAGAGGACAGGAACCAACCAGCAAGACCATCGAAGCGTGTTCTTTGGCTTTCCTAAAAAAAAAAGAAGTCGAGTGGTTGTCACCCTTTTAAAACGCAACTCGTTACCACTAACAACGTCATGGAGCCAGGTTGGCCTTTTCTGCTGGTAAACCATTTATTCCCCCCCTTTTTTTTTTAGATTTATTTTTGATTCTCATAAAAAGAGAAACTTGCAAAGTGGCGGGCAAGTGTCAAATTAGGTTGCCTGGCTCACCTTTTTTAACCTTCTTTTCTGATAGACATCATCAACCAGATGCATATCTCTCTCTCTCTCTCTTTTTCTATAGCTTAACTAAATTTGAATAACGCTCCGGTGGCGAATTTTAATTTTTGATGTCATTTATTAAACGGGTTGGGCGTGAGTCTGAAGTGGAGAGATCATATTGCTGGGCGGCTTCCCTTCGTTGACGCATTAATCATACGCCAAGTTGACAATGGCAGGGCAGGGCAGGAAAAAAAAGGAAATAAAAACCAAGAAGCTGCTGCCACAGACATTGAGACATTCAGAGACAGAGAGGTCGGTCTTAAGACAAACGCAATGAAATGGAAATGCAAAATGTTCGTCTGTTTATTTGCCAACCATTTAAATGCGATGAGGGGGAGGGAGGGAAAAAGCAGCCCTAAAAAAATATAGAAAAGAAGAGCAGAAAAAGACAGGGGAAAAGAAAAAATGGAAAATTGCGCAAATCCCTTGAAGAAATGTTTGAAATTTTTCAGAGCTCACAGCGGGCGGTGGCAGAACCCAAAAAGAACCCGGCAAAAATTGTTGTTGCAAAATTATGCTTAAATCAAAAATCACAGCAGCGGCAAAAGAAGAAACGCTCACTGCAGGCGACCATTTTCAGTGGCTAAAAAAGAAAAAAAAAGAAGAAAACACAAGAGAAAAAAAAGGACAAGGGCAACCCTTGTGTCCTGCGTATCCTGGTTTTTGCAAGAAGCAAAGGCAAAGCTAGGTAACTGCGCATATTTTATACCCTGCATTAGGTCTTAAGTATTGCTTATTACGTCAGCAATGGGGTACCTTTTTTCTCTTTTTTTTTATTTTATTTGCTCGCCAGGCATCCCAAACTATTTCGGAAAGTCAAGGGTTTAAGGAGGGGAGGGGGGTTAATGTTAGGGAGAAAAATGCAAGCTGAATTTGGAAAGCTTAATGATGCTCATTTAGGGTTAAGTTAGTCCTTAAAGTAGCAGTTGAGAAGGAGAGAAGAGGTTTCATAGACTAAAATAGAAACTGTTTTTGAGTTTAAACTTCATTTAAAGAGTTTTCTTTGTTGCTAAATCAACAATCTGGTTTGGGTTTCCAACTTTTAGCTTATAAAAAAGTGTTTTTTATACAAATCTAAAATCGAAGAATTCATACTATTCAGCTTTTTAACCTGCCTTATAACAGAAACTAACAAACTGAAGTCATAATCCATAGAAATCCCTCTACTTTACAAACGAAATTTAGTTTAACTTTGCTAATACAACCTCAGAAATACCAAGAAAAACCATAAACACTCTCCCTAACGATAGGCTAACTTAAATTAAACATAGCCCAGGAAAATACAGACTATATCCCATTTCAAACCCTAACATTCTAATAACATCATCATCCTCATTCCGCTGGCATTTCCTCGCTCTAATGCGATACTTATTAAGTTAGCCCAGAGCTTCCCCCAGTTCGAATGTTATAGCTATCTGCCCAGATCCCACTCATTTGTTTACAGAATTACCAAAATACATAAAAAAACAGAACATACACACGCAGAACATGGACATGCAAGGATATCTAATAGCTTTATGTTGGTTAAGGAAGAAACCTTGCAGGGTGCAGGCAGCTGGCAACTGGCAGCATCCCCCAAAAAAAAAGACCTCGACTTCTGAGTAGCCTGGCTGCATTTTTGAGTGGCGCACCAGTGGCTGGGATGTGGAAATCTAAGCCGAGGGTTGATGCGGCTGCCTCATACTCCACTCCTGTCCTCCTGCCCACCACTTTCCATTTCCTGATACTCCCCTCTCATCAGCCTGTGTTTTGCTTTGGCATACACTTGGATTTTATAGCCAAAGGCAGGTTTTTTAAAATATTTATAAAATATGTTAAGTATTAGGAAAGCTATGTTAGATATTGATGGTGAAAAGTTGTAGAGAAAACTAAGAGTTAAAACTAAAACTAAGTCTCTTCACATCCATCCTTGGTTTAAGCAATATTTCTCCATGTGCACCCTCAGATTTGTTCCTGCGGCTGGCTCTGGGCTTTTCCTTGGTTTTTGTTTGATTTTGGCCTCCTAAAGGGATCTCGTTATGCTCGGCAAACAGTCGCGACTTAAAGCTCATTCTATATATTCTATATATATATATATATTTAGCATCCTTGGCATACGTACGAGTGTATCTGACATTGCAACAATGGCCAGCCAAGCGAGTTGGGTGCCATGGCCAGGCCAGGCCAGGCTAGGCCAACACTTTCACGGTCATGAGAAAGCCAGCGGAAGTTGCCGCCGTAGAAGCTGGAATGGGCCAGACTGCGACGACAGACGAAGAAAGTATTTTGGGTTCCGTTCTGGCAGATGTCGAAAACGAAAATCATTCCTGCTCCCCCCCTTTGGAAAATCCACACTTTCAACCCACTAAAGTTTTCAGCTAAAATATTGGCAAACAATTGTCTGTGTCTGGGAGACTGAGACTGAGTCGTCGTCTTGAGTCCTCAGCCCTGTATCTCTCTATCTTGCCAATATTGGTGGAAATACTTTTGGCCAAAATTCGATGGCAATATAAAAATTCCCAGCCATTGACAAAATGCTCTGAATTTTCCCCAAACTCTTTTCTTCATTTAATAAATTACACAACAAGCAGGCGAAAAAAAAGAAGAAAAATACAAATAGAAGAAGGGCAAGGGCAAGGGCTAAAAAGGGGAAACTATTTATTTTACGCCGCCCCCAAAAGCAGGCAATGAAAATTGCTCAAATGCGACAAATGAAGGGAAACTTGCAACGGGAAAAGAGGGAAAAACTGCAAGTAAGAAAGGAAGTTTCATTTGGAGACTTGAGGAAATGAAATCAGGCAATTGGATAGTAAGGAGTTAAAGGAAAAATCTCGGAAAATGAAAATTTAAGTTGTATAATTTAAGCAGGGAATGATCTTTCAACCTGTCAGTGGTTTTCATGAACTTTCTGAATTTTGTTGATAAAAATTGTATTTTAAATTTATTTTCTTTATAAAAATTACGTAAAATATTTATTTCTTTAACCTTTATAGGATTATTAACTCATTTTTTATATAATATTTTTTTTACAATATTTATTTAACTTTTTAATCTTTTTTTAAAAAGAACTTTGGGGGCTTAGCTCGGGGTTAATTGGAAACGATTTCACACCCCCAGACATTCACTTTCCCTTAATGCGGTTGTTATGCCGTCCGATCAAG